CTATGCCTGTCGGCTCAAGCTGGGAGGCTGTGGGCGTGTTTGTGCTGGCACGGGCTTCTGGCTGACTTTTTGTGCATATCTTAGGTGGAAGAAGTCACTTACTGTAATTTCTGATGTATTCCTTGCAGGTTATCGCTGGAGTAGGTCTGCCTGCCCTTCAGGCATGCATTTTGGCCAGAAGTTCCCTAGACCTGCTCTTTACAGATCATCACTTCAGAGCCAGAAGGGGCCTTTCTGATAATCTAGTCTAATACTCTCAGTCTGCAGATGCAGAGTAGCAGGAGACTTGCCCAAGGCTACAAAGATCAGGGTTTGAAGCTGGTCCTCCGACTCCAAGGCTCACTATCCCTTTGTAATCTTCCAGGCTGCCCTGCTCTGCTTGCACTTTCTTTCCTTCCCAATCTTGCTCTGACGGATAACCAGCTCAATGTTACACTGTCCTCTACTCTCCAGACCCACTGTTCCTTGACCTATCCTCAGCACAGGCCTTGCTGAGCCCCAGACCTGGATTACTTCCCCTCTCTGGCCCCTGCTCCTGTTCACACAGTGCAGGTTGGTGCCAGGCGGGAGCCACATTCAGCTGGGCCCTCACTGAAGCAAGGCGATCTTCCATATGTCTCCCCAGTTGATTTGGTATCCCATTTCTTTATGGATACTGCCTTTCCTTCTTTCTTCAAGTCTCCCACATCGCACCTTCCCTCTACCTTCCCAGCTGACAACCTTGCCTCCCCTTTCACCATGATCAGTGCGCTCTCTTTCCTCACTCTTGTGTCAGCATGCTCTGATGCCACCCTTTTCTCTTTCTTCCTCTCTTCCAGCCTCTGACTTTCTCCTCTCTGTGGCACCTGACCCCACCCCTGCCTCTACAGTCATTTCCCTCTCTCTTTCCAATTTTTTACCTTTCTCTATCAATGGGCTCATTCCCTTTTGTGGTTGTTCAGTTGTTTCAGTCATGTTCAATTCGCCATGGCCCCGTTTTGGGATTTTCTTGGCAAAGAGGTTCATTGTGCTTTCAAAAATACATGTTTTGGGAGCAGCTAGGTGGAGCAATGGATGGAGCTCTGGCCTTGGAGTTAGGAAGAACTGAGTTCAAATCCAGCCTCAGACAATTGACTGTGTCACCCTAGGCAAGTCACTTAACCCTAACTGCCTCATCAAAAAGCAAAAAAAAAAAGTTTCCCTCATCCTTAAAAACTTTTACGTGATCCTACCAGCCCTTAATGATACCACCTACAACTCCTTTTCTAGCCAATTCCTTGAAAAGGATGTTCAGTCTCACTGCATCCACTTCCCTTGCTCTCCCTCACTCCTGCACCTTTTGCTATCTGGCTTCAGACCTCACCACTTCCCTGAAACTGTGACTCCCTCTGAAGTGACTGAATATGACAGTCCCGACCTAGGTGCTGCACTGGACAGTGCTGCCCATCCTCTCCTCCTTCTGTGCTTCTCTCACCGCTGCCTAGAGAATGGGAGTCCTGGACCCCAAAAACCTGCCTCTTTGGGTCTTTGTAGTTGTAAGGCTTGACACAACGTCTGGAAGCATGGCAATGGTCAAATGAGAAGCCTGTTGTTATCTCAACAAGACTATGGATGTAAGGGAGGAGACGGTGATGGGTAGTGGTTGGTGAAGAGTATCTATCACAATAAAATCAGAGATCTAGACCAAACAATGAGTAATAATAACATCAACACCACTATTTTCTGTTACTTTTATCTAACTACAAAAAGCAATTATTTTATCCACCTGCCCAATAATCTATAGGCATTAAATATAAAAAACAATACGGTGATTTGTCACAGGCCCATTTTTCAGCTGAACACAATAAAAAAAAGATGAGAATAAGGTTATGCATGATAACAATAATAACCGAAACCCCAAAGAAGAAGGATGTGGAAATTTATCATTATCTACAGACATACTTTGGAGATATTCTGGATTCTGTTCCAGACTGCCACAAAAAAGCGAATATTGCAATAAAGCCAGTCACATGAATTTTTTGATTTCCTAGTGCATACAAAAGTTATGTTTATACTATATTGCAGTCTACTAAGTGTGCAACAGTATTATGTCTAAAAACACAATGTACATAACTAAAAATACTTTATTGCTAAAAAATGTTAACTATCATCTGAGCCTTTAGAGAATCATAATTTTTTTTGCTGGTAGAGGGTCTTGCTTCAATGCTGAGGGCTGCTGACTGATCAGGGTGGAGGTTGCTGAAGGCTGTGGCAATTTCTTAAAATAAGACAACAATGAAGTTTTCAGTGTTGATTGACTCTTCCTTTTACTTGAACACTTAGAGGCCATAGTGGGGTACTAATTGGACTAATTTCAATATTGTTGTGCTTCAGGGAATAAGGAGGCCCAAGTAGAGGGAGAGAGATGGGGAAAGGCCAGTTGGTGGCGGAGTCACCACACACATTGCCTTTACTGATTAAGTTTGCCATCTTCTATGGGCGCAGTTCTTGGCACCCCAGAACAACGAAAATAGCAACATCAAGGTCACACTGATCATCATAACAGATGTGAACAGATATAATAATAATGAAAAAGTATGAAATACTGCAATAATTACCAAAACGTGACACAGAGACATAACGTAAGTGCATGCTGTTGGAAAGATGATGCCAACAGACTTGTTTGATGCAGATTGCCACAAACCTTCAACTTGTAAAAAATGCAATATCTGTGAAGTGCAATAAAGTAAAGCACAATAAAATGAAGCATGCCTGTATGATATGGTCACGAGAAGAGCAACACAATGAAAATACAAGCCTTTGAATCAAGTGAGAAACAGAAAGATCATGCACTGTTGACATAAACAGTGAGAGTAGAGTTAGGTCAAAGGAGGTGATGTAGATTCTGTTTCCTCTGTGAAACCAGATAAGATCCTTAAATGGCAGTTTGAATGCTTTCCAGTGGCACACAAATTACTAGGAAAGCACTTGACCAGTTTCTTCTAAGATGCAAGACTGATCTCACCTGTCCTAACAGAATGTATCAAATGTCTATTAACCAAAATGAGAACACCAGTGAGACCGCCAAATCTCGACCAGTTATGTGTTTGTGGACTTTATACAATACATCCATAGATTCTATCGTTAAAAATAACTAACAACATCTACAAGGTAATAATACACTGGCTGAGGAGCAAAAAAGAACGTTTCCAGAAGTCTCAGTGCTGAACAGAGCACTTAATTATTGACGAGTTGTCCAAAAGTGCTGTGACGTTCAGAGCGCCTTTACTGATTACACCTTATGTGACCTAGCTCTACATTCATGGCTGTGAGAATGTCAGATTATTTGATGTCTACATAGAAAACACTTCTCTATTAAAAACACACCACCAACATGATACCAAAGATAATTAATATAAAACAGGGCGTCTTTTAGGGAGACAGTGACAGTCTCCTCTGATCTGGCTCCTAGTCTCAAACTCGCTCATCAGGCCAGTAGAATGTCCATGTTTAAAGAGCGCACTGTACCCGAGCATCTCCCCAGTCGCTCCATTGCCCTCATCTCCTCTCCCACTGGCTCTCCTCCTACTTGTGAGAGAACTCCTTCATCCAGGTCATGTTCACTGACTGTAAGTGTCCTAGCAGCTGGTGTCCTGGGCCCAGGGCTCTTCCTCCTCTAAGCTGCCTCCCATGGATCCGTGATCATCTCCACGCAGAGAATTCCCAGATCCTTTTACCCAGCACTAATCTCTCTCCTAGACTCTGGTCCTGCATCACCACTGCCTTGTGGACATCTTAAAGATAGCCCACAGGCCCCTCCAATTCACTATGTCCCAAATGGGGCTCATTATCTTTCCCCCAAACCCTGTTTTCTTCCCCACTGCCCTTCTGCTATCACAGGCACCAGCATTCTCCCAGTCACCAACGTCACAGCCTCAGCACCTTCTTCACTCCTGCCCCCCACTCCCCACACATAGCTAATCTGCTGTCTAGTCTTCATTTTTAACTTCACAACATCTCTTCCCTCGATTCATCCCTGGGCTTCTGGCAGCAGCTTTGTAACTGGTCTCCCCATTCCAAGCCATCCTCCATTCAGCTACAGAATATGGATCAGATCACGTCACCCCTTGTCCGATATATTCCTGTGGATCCTTCCTGCCTCCAAGCTCACAGAGGGGCTGCCACGCGGCATTTAAAGCCTTCCACAGCCTCTTCCACACTCTATGACTTGGCTACCCTAGCTCTACACATCATCCTATCTCCAGTCTCTAAGCCTTTGTCCAAGCTGTGCCCTCTCCTGCACCATTCTCCTTCCTGACCTCTGGCTCCTAGCTTCTCTCAAGACAACAATTCTCAGCTCTAAAAGGGGCCTTCCATAGTCCCTCCCACTGCCAGCACCCCCCCTTGAGATTCTCTTCCATTTTTATTAAGTGCACACATATACATATATTGTCTCTGTACGTAACTATCTGCCATGTTGTCTCCTACCCGAGAATGTGAGCTTCTGGAGGGCAGGGGTTACATCTTTGCATTTCTTGATATTCTCAGCACTTAGCCTAGTGCCTATCACAAAGAAAGTGCTTAGTAAATGCTCGTTGACTGACTGGCTGATGTGTATGGATGACATCAAGCTATGTGTGCCCACTGAAAAACATATTAAACAGCTTTTCCATCTTGTGGAATCTTTCTTCAATGATAAGCCTGGCATTCAGCACTCTAGAAATGCGAGTTATTACCAGGTCCACTTCAGCCACACCAAGTGAAAAACGAATGCAGTGTCCCTAGGAAGAGCAGACTGGCCCACTGCTTCCCAACACAAGACCTAGGAGGATCAGTGTTCAGTGCATACCATGATGGATAGCTTCATCATGGTCAACCCTCCCTTTCCCCCCTCTATTCGAGATCACCTAGCTCAATTCTCTCACTTTACAGACAAGGAAACTGAGGCGCGAGGTGAAAGGCTGCCCACAGGACGGAGCAGGGAGGCTGAGGTGATTTCACTATTTCAGTCAGAGAAGATTCATCTGGCCCCTGTCTCTTACCTGGTTGTCCGGATGGTTTACGGTAAAGTAGCCCACACAGATGATGACTTCGTGGAGCAGGACCTCGCAGGAGTGGTGGGCACAGTGCCACAGCAGAGAGCTGAGAATGTGCCGGAATGCCAGGGACAGCCCTTCTGCTCCTACAATAGACTGACAGAGGGCAAAAGGGATCATTTATAATCTGAGTGGTAGCCCCTCCCACCTGGGGGAGCAGAGGAGTTTAATTAAAGTAAGTAATGCCACTTTAAAATGACTTATTATTGCTCTTTCAAGGGAACCTCAAATACCAAACCTTCAAGCAAGCCCAATCAGTAATGTATAATGTCACTTTTCCAGCAAAATCTGTGACCTAAAGCAATCTGGTGTGTGGTTCTGCTTACTGCTTCTCCTCGCAATCACAGATGTGGTGAAAAGACACATAATTTATCTAGAAATTGGAAAAAAAGCACAGCCCATGTGGGCACCTATCAGAACTTAACTGACACACTGTCTCCACCATGTGCAGAGTCACTAGGTGTACAGAGCCTGTGCAGGACATACTGAGAGCTCCAGGCCTTTTGGGTTAAACTACAAAGAAGGGAGAAAACCCTCCTTTCTGCACACGGAAAAATCCTTTTCTCATTAGCTACCTGTGTGTTGCAAACAGAAAAGAAAGACAAAGGATAATTAATAGCTTTTCAAATACCCTTGTCAGGGATGCTGTATACAGCTTCCGGATCAGCTATGGGCTGGACTAGATGGCCTTGAGGGGCCAGTCTGCTCTAAGACTCAGAAATAAACAGTTTCAAAAGTAGGAGGTTTCTGAGATTGGGGGGAAGGGTGGTTGAGATCTTTCAGCTTGAAGCTTTCTGGTATGTTTTCTTTCTTTTTTTCTCCCCATCTTTTAATCTTAGCTTTGTTTTGTTTGGTTTTTATTTAGCATATTATTTTTCCCCAGTTAAATGTAAAAACAATTTTTAACATTCATTTTTAAAACTTTGACTTTTTGGTATACTTTCTAAACTGGGCAAGTTAATGGGGTGATCGAGGAGAACTCAACTGTACCTGTGGCCTCTATTTAGTAAACATGTCAAACAGACAGAGTGACCCAAGGTCAAAGGGGAAAAGTGAAGCCCAAGGACTAAGCTTAACTATCTAGAAAACAAAGCCAGAAGACAGTTTGAATATCTGGGAAAGGGGTTCATCTAGAACGGTTCTTGACTTTTGGTCTTTGCTCAGTGTGTGGGAGAATAACCCTGTCATGGCCCACGAGAGGTAGAAAGCATTCTCCCCAGTACAGGTCAGTCCAGAGCACCAAATCAAGCCATTTTTGCATGGATTTCTGAAGGAAATGCCTGGGTAAATAAATCTTTAGCGTCAAGATCACAGCCCTGAGAAGGAATAGCTTTCCAGGCCCTAAAGCAACTTCAGGAGCATTTTTGCTACTTTGCATCAAGCCCTGACATTTCTTCAGGCTTGTCCATACTTAATTAGTTACATCCACCTGTAGTGTAACCTCATGCTCTCTGCTGAACCTTCAGGGATAAGAACAGATCAAGGGCCATGTCAGTTTGAACAGAAAAATTAAACTCATTTTTCAGGGAAACTCTTCTTCCCTCTTTAGTCTTTGAAAGCAACACTGGATTTGGACTCAGAAGGCATGGATTCACATCCTAGATTTAACCTGTATTTTGTTGTCTGATCTAGAGCAAAACTGACACAGGGCAGCCCCTCCGTGAACCTTCAAATACTCTGCCTGTTTCACTGGCACACCATGAAATGGACAGTGGATGAACAGGGGGGCAGTGCTCCCCAAACTGCAACCTCTGGTCATGACCTCCTACTTGGTTTAAACCTGCTTCCTGGTGTAGCCCTCGGGCTCGAGAGACAGAGCACCCAGGAAGCACCAGTTCCTCGGGCGGCCCCAACTGAAGTGATTCTTCAGTCTTTCTGTCTCTCTATCTTGAATGTGTCTTGTGTAACTTCCTCATTTTCTGGAGAGAAGAGCCTGTGGGACACACGTTCCCTGGAAGGACTTCCAACCTCTCCTTTTGATCCATCATCTTGCTGCCTGAATTGTTACTGGACCCCAAGACTTGGAGTCTGAAGAGACCCTAGCAATCACCAGTTCCCATCTCCTCATTCTCTTGAGAAAGAGGCCAGAGAGTGGAAAGGGCCTGCTCAGCATCACTGAGGCAGGCTCCTCCTCCAAGTCACTGGGCTCTTTCCTTTCTAGTCAGGTCCCTTTTCTCCTGTGGCTCTGATCAGGCCACCTGACCCTCCAGGGTCCCACGTGGCCTTTCTCTGGCTGGGCATTCTTTTTTTTTTTTCTTTTTGGTGAGGCAATCGGGGTTAAGTGACTTGCCCAGGATCACACAGCTACTAAGTGTCGTGTCTGAGGCCGGATTTGAACTTAGGTCCTCTTAACTCCAAGGCCACAGATTTTTGCCAGGTATTCTTGCCTTCACTATCAGCAGAGCATTCAAGGCTACTTCTATTTGTTTCTTCCCCGCTCTCTAGATGATGGCTTCTTAGCCTTTTTTGTGTCATGGACCCCTCTGGCAGTAGTCTGCTGAAGCCACCTATGGGACCCCTTCTCAGAATGATGTTTTTAAGTGCAAAAAACACATAGGATCACAAAGGAAATTAATTATATTGAAATATGGCTATCAAACTATTTAAAAAATATGTTCCCAAGCCACGGGTTAAGAACACCTATAGACTATAAGTATCCAGGAGTAGGGAACCTGTGGCCTGAAGGCCACATGTGGCCCTCTAGGTCCTCAAGTGCAGCCTTTTGACTGAATCCAAACTTCACAGAACAAGTCCCCTTAATAAAAGCATTTGTTCTGCAAAACTTGGACTCAAAGGGCCGCACTTGAGGACCTGGAGGGCCACATGTGGCTGCAGCTTGCCCACACCTGGTATAGACCTTACTAAACCTTCAAGTAACTTTTCCAAGTCAGCCTTCTTAAGAAGATCTACTTAACAGTTGGCGTATGGAAAAGCACTAAGAAGCCAGGTGGCACAACGTCTAAAGCATTGGGCTAGGAATCAGGAAGGCTCAAGAAAATATTATGCTATCATAGTAACATTTGTATATAATCTGATTACTACAGGAGATCAGACGTTGTCTCCAACTCTTTCTAGCTTTTATTTAGGTAGCTTATGAAGCGGGTCCTTGACTAAATGGAAGTTGATTAAAAAAAATTCCACCTTCTGTAAGTGATCTTTCCTCACTCACCACTCCCTAAAACACACTTACTCGTTTCAATTACCCAAAGTAAATGCTCTCTATTTAATTTGAACATGAATTCAGTGTTTAGTCAGTCTGTCCCTGTCAGTGCTCCTCAGAGCAGGGCTCTGTATCTCGCTTAGTGCCCCGTCAGGGACCTCAAGCCAAACATGACACATGCTTAATAATGTCAACAGTGATGTTATATTGGTTGTGTGGCACTACGTGCAGATGCTAAGGGCTAAATGCATTCAATGGTCCAACAGCCAGGATGCAGACAAGGTACTGGCAGAGTGCCAGGCAGGATGATGGTAACAGGCTGCCTCTGTGGTGATCTCCAATTTTGGGGATGCTGGCCTATTACAGGACAAAAAGGTGAGCGGCATGCTTCAAAGGGGTACTGACTGCCCAAGGAAGAGGAAGAAGCTGAAGTGAAAGGAACTTGCAGATTCACTGGGCTGGGGAGGCTCTGGGCAGGAAAGAGAAGGCAGGATGCTACAGAACAGGGACGATATGGAAGGAAAGAGCGACCAGGAGAAATACAAGGGGGAAAGCGTAAAGCCAGGGAATGCTGAGTTCAAAGAAGCCTGAAGGGGGCCAGGACATCGAGCTATCTCCAAGTGCAAAGCCAAACACGAGACAGTGTCCTCCCTCCACAGAGGAGATTAAACATAGCCAGGTAAACACATACAGGAAAATGTGGGAGGGAGAGAGGACTATGCTAAAGAAAGGCCAGAGAGCTGGAATCTCTAGTGGAAGAGAGCTGGGGTTGCATCCCAAGCATGGCAGGCAGCCTGTGGAATGGGAGGTCAGTTTGTCTAGAAAAGAGAGGGTATGAAGGGGAACGATGTGGAATGAGGCTGAACAGAGGCTGGAGCCAGACTGTGAAGGACTTTCAAGGCTAAATTTGTAAGGTCATAGGTTGAGGCCATCCAGTCCAAACCCTTTATTTTACAGTTGGGGTAACTGAGGCAGAGAATGTGACTTGCTCAGGTCTGAGGCAGGATTTGAATTCAGGTCTTCTTTTTTTTTTATCCCACAGCCAACAGGGGGTCACTGAAACTTCTTGAAGAGGGGAATGAGAAGTCTGGCTTTATGCTTTGGGAAGATTCTTTTGGCAGTTTTGTGGAGAAGGGATTGGAGATGAAAGACAGATGCGAAGCAAAGCAACCAGTGAGGAGGCTCTGGGAGATTTGTGAAGTGCCTTGTGAGTGGAGAGGAGCAGATGGAGCCAGAAAAGAGTCAAGAACAGGGCTGATGTTGGAGCTAAGGCAACTGGAAGGAGGCCCTCAGTGGAAACAGAGAAGGTAGGTGGAGCAGTGGGGTTAGAGGGAAGTTACTGAATGCTCTTTCAGAGACTGAGAAGTCCACAGCATATTCAGTTAGAGATCTTCAGTAGGCAGCTGGAGATGTGAAAATGGAGATCGGCAGATATTAGGGCTGGCTCTATGGATGTGGTAATTATCTGTACGGAAATGCTCACTGAACCCAGGAGAGCTGAGAAGATTATTGAGAGAGTTTATAGAGAGAGAAAGAGGAGCTGGGGCCCAGGAAAAGAGAAGGCAATAAGGACTGCCTTCAAGTGGGGCTTGACAATTGATAATGAAGTTGAGGATGATGGTACTATACAAAAGTCTGAGAAATAGTCTGACAGGTAGAAGGAAAACCAGGACAAAACAACAGCACAAAAGTCCAGAGAGAAGAAGGTCAGATGATGCAGAGAGCTGAAGAAGGAAAAAGACTAACAAAATGCCATTGGCTCTAATAATTAGATCGTTTTCAATCTTGAAGGGAATAGTTTCAGTCGTGTGGTAAAGTTGAAAATGAGACTGAAATAAGCGGAGGAGAGTAGAGAACATGGAAATGATGCATCTACATCTGGCTGGGAAAGGACAATGACTTGAGGGGACAGTAAGGGAAAAACTTCTAGCAAGTTGAGCTCTCAAAAGTAGAAGGGGCTGCCTTGGGAAGTAATGGGTTTCTCATCACTTGATGTGCTTAATCACTTGTCTGAGAGTTTGTAGAAATTTTGGCTTTTGTTCAGATATGGGCTAGACCAGATGGCCTTGAGGTCCCTTCCAAGTCTGAGACTCTGTAGGTAAGAATGTGATGTGGACTTCGTCATCAGGAAGACTACAGCAGTGTAATAAAATGAAAGGTGTAAGGAGAGATCTGGATTCAAATTCTATCTGCCAGTCTTACTAGCTGAGTGACCCTGGACAAGTCAATTAACCTGTCTGTGCCTCAGTTTCTTCATCTATAAAATGAAGATAGCCCCTACCTCCCAGGGTTGTTGTGAGAGTCAAATGAGCATGTAAAGTGCTTTGCAAACCTGAAAGCACTACAGAAATGCTAGATAAGCATCAGTCAATTAAAACTCAGTTCAGTGAAATTCAACAAGCATTTGAAAATGGGGACAAATAATAATAAAATAATAAAAATGCTAATAAATTTGATAAATTCGGAACAATGTGGTCTGCAGAATCTATTCCACAGGCTCCCATAAGATTCTGTGTATAAAGCAGTATGTGAATACAAAAATGCTCCACAAATGTCTTCCTCTTCAGTAGGGGAGTAAATATATTCTGATGAAATAAAAAAATAAACATCCCCAGTCAGCAACATTTCTTTAGACACTAGGGGTCAGAATAGATTATCTCTAAGGTCCCTTCTTGTTCTAATTCTTAAACTCCTATGACTGCAGCTGATCCAAGTCATTATAAAAAGCAGAAAGACCACATGAAGGCTCACATTGCAGTTCTGTGGAGTTACTGGTGTCCTGTCCCAGGTTCCATTGCGAGGTGCCTTAAATACTTTAAATGTTGTATTTAGTTTGCTAAGCTAGCTTCACATAGGTGAAGAACATCATTTCTAAAGGACGTGACTTGGTCTCACATATTTTCTTTCACATTTAGAACAACACGAACATATCAATTAGTTAACTGCACGTTTGACATCAACTACCTTCTAGAAAGCTAGTGTTTCTTATCAATGATAGCAACTGAAGGACAGAGTTTTAGTGATCATATCTTTCCACCTTTTCCCCTCTCAACAATATAATTCCTCTAAACTAAATTCCTCATCACTTGCCAAATATCTTCATTTTAAATTAATCTATGTGCCAAGAAATTAACTGAATGTGACAGTCCATTTCTTGGGACTTGGTTTGCTCCAAAAGGCCAGTGTTTTTGAAAATTAAAATTCCTATGTGAGAAAGGCTGTTTTTGCATTGCTGACTTTGGAATTCTAGTATTTTAAGGCATTTTTTTCCCTTTGGTTATAGAAATGCAATTTATAGGGATTTGCACTTTTGACTATAAATACCTTTTAGAAGGAATAAAAAGCTAAATATTCCTTAAAAAGCCTCATCAAAAGCATTTATCCAGTTTTTGTGTTCTGCTTAAATTAAAAAAAAAGTTTCCCCTGTATTTAAAAGGTGACATGCAATATCAAATTGCCTACTGTCTCAGAAAGGAGGGGAGGTAAGGGAGGAAGAGAGAAAATTTGGAGCTCAAAATTTTAAAAAATGTTAAAATTTATCTTTACATGTAACTGGGGAAAATATTACTTAAAAAATTAATACAAGGACAACCTTTTGATGTGAAGAAGCCTGATGGAAGGACTTACTCCACCTTTTGTTGGCTACAGTTAGCTCCACATGCAGTGACCTAGAAACAAACCTTCATGTCAGTCCAGAATTAACAGGTTAACTTCTTTTAGCACTCAGCACAAACAGAAGACGAGGTTTGTTACCTGAAAAGCTGGCAGATCAAGGACCGCGAAGCTGTTGAAGAAACGTAGACTCTGAAGGGCAACTTGGATAGTACTCTGGGCGTAGCTGTCTTTGGGGCTGGCAGTGGGGGGGTCTGAGATGGTGCCATGGAAGAGAATACAGTAGAGCATGTGTAAGACTCCAACTAGATCTGTGGCCTGAAGAGCTGCTGCTAATCCTGTGGGGTCCTGACGTATTTTATCAAATATGTCCCACGACCTGGACAAAGAAACATTAAACTCTTTAAATAGAAATCAACTGTAGGATGTTAACATTTTATTAGGTCAAATGGAACAAAATAAGTAGACCGTTAAAAGCAAACCATCTGAGTTGTATAATATCGTAACAAGAAACCACAAGGAAGAAATCCAGCACTCCCACCAAATGTATTTATGTATGATTCTTATTGATACATTCCATCCTCATACCTTGTAGAAGTCCTCTATGCTTTGAGAAAACAACTAGCATCTTCAGGTTAAAATGCCTGAGTGTTACCCTAACCATGCATGTATCACCAGAGTAGGTTCCAGAAGACCTGTGGTAGAATCTTGGTTCTACTACCAATCAGATCTTGGGGAAGTAATTTTTTTCTCTCTGGACCTCAGAATCATCTCAAAAATTAGGGTATCAAAACAGAAAATCTATAAAGTCCTTTCCAGATTTAAGTCCTATAATCTTACGAATGACATTTTGCATAACTCTTTCCCTAACTATACCCAGCAAGCCGTGCTCTCCCCAATGTAAGGTGGGCACACGCACATAAAAGTACTGGTCTCTTCTAAACAGGCACATTTATCCTCTCTGGGGAGGTGGCAACTAGCAGTCCTCAAAAAAATCAAAGCATGAGTGTGGTTCATCATCCATACAGCCCTCACGAGAAGGAGTTATAAAAGTAAAGCTGATGGCAGCAAGAAAGGCTGAGGGGGGGCCACTTATCCAAGCTATACATTGGATTACTTCTGTAAAAAGCATTATTAAAATCAACTGGTGAACAGGTTCAGGGTTAGAGGCTTTCAAGCTGAACATGAAAAGTATTGGCATTTGTAGCTCTATATGTCAGCAAATCAAGCCAATGGAAATGTCAGGTCATATTTACATAGGCTTCAAGGTTTACAAGTACTTTACATACATCACCTCATTTCATTTTCACAGCAACCTTTATAAAGCAGGTATTGTTGGTATGATTTCCCACACTGTAAAGAAACTGAAGCAGATGAGTGACTTAAAGATCAAGATTTGAGGCTGGAAAGGGCCTCTAAGCTCATCTGTCTATAGAGAGGACACAGGGCCAGATTTTAGTCCTTTGACTTAAATCACCAGATCTCTTGGGACTGGTTTTCTCTTCTAAAATACGAAATGTTTAGACTCGATGACCTTTGAGATTTATTTGAGCTCTAAATCCTAAGAACTTGTGCACACAGGGTTTAAACCCTTGTTTTTTGACTGCACATCCAAGTCTTCTTTCCTTTACATCACAGTTTGGTCTCAAAGCATTTTTGGAGAAATGTCATTTATGAAATCCCAGCTGCTCTAGATGCATGTGGGCCTTTGCCAGTGGACTGATCTCACTGATCTCAGTCCACAGTGAGGCCTGAGGTGAGGTGTTTTGGCTTCACACCTTCCCTTCTGCTCCCTAGGCCCTCTAAAACTGCCCTGACCTCCCTGTCGGGCCCCTTCAACTACACCACTCATTGGTGACTCAGAACCACCCCAATGTTTCCCAATCTTGAGGAATTTTACAACTGGCATTAGCCTGGCACCTATCTTTCAGAATCTACTTTAGAGAATGACCTCTTACAGGAAGGTAGAAAGCTGACTTCAAACTTCTACAGAGAATCCTAGAGATCAGACATTGGAATGGATCTCAGAAGTCCTCTCTTTAGCCAGACCCAAACAAGGACCTCCTCTCTAATAACCTCAACTGATGGTCATCCAGACTCTAGGGAAGAGGAACTCACCTCTTCTTGAGTCACTTCACTGTACTTCTGGATAAACCACGGCAACTAATCAATTATCCTCCAAACTTAGCTTATAGTATATTGTTTTATAAAAGTAGCTGTTATTTTTAGAAAAAAAGTAATGCTCTTAATCATTGTTAGCAAAAACACAGCTCTCCAACATACCCCACACAGAACTCTCTCTTGTAACGAAGTAGCATGGCTAAGCAAAATAACTGATGCATTGGCATGACAGCACTGATGGTTCATTATTTCTCTACTGAGAGGGAGTAGAGTTCGTCAGTCCTTGGGAGTCAAGATGGGTCAAAGCATTGATGTGAATTCTGGTGTTCTTCGCTGTTACTTTCCTTTACGTTACTGTGGTCACTGTGACCATAGTGTTCTCGTTCTCTCTCTCTCTCTCTCTCTCTCTGAACATGTGATTTCATTGCCATAGGAAACTCTCTCTACCAATGTAGATCAACATCTGCTCTGTTGTCTGGGGTACTGAGAGGTCAAGTGACTTGTCTAGGGTCACAAAGCCATGATGTCTAAGAGGTAGATCTTGAACTCAGGTCTTCATTCTTCTATCCCCTCCATATACCATGCTATCTCTTTGTTCTCTTAGTTTTGCTTACAGATGCTGTGCATCAGTTCAAGTCTTCCCAATTTTCTCTGAATTCCTAATATTTGCTTCATCTCTCTTAATGCTAGTTGATCACCTCTAATTTATCCTGTATAGATTTTGCTTGTATATTGTTGTCTGCATATTGTCTCCCCTAGACTAGGAGATCCTTGAGATCAGATACTTTTCTTTTGCCTTCCTTTGTCTCCTTAATACTTAGCATAGTACCCAGCATTTAGTAGGTGCTTAGTAAATGTTTATGGATTAATACTCATTTCTTATGGAGTAACAGCATTCCATTACATTGCTACCCCACAAGTTGTTCAGCTGTTCCCCAGTCAATGGGCACCCAATATTTCTAGTCTTTTTTTCTAAGACAAAAAAGTGTCATTATGAATATTCTGCTATTTATTAGATCTTTCTCAATGTCTTTGACCTTCTTGGGGAATATGCCCAGTAATGAAATGAATAATTTTTAGGACAGTTGCGAATCGCCAACCCCACCCCGCCCCAAACAGTTGGATCAGTTTATAGCTCCATCAACACTGTATTAGTGTGACTGTCTTCCTATAGATCTTTCCATAGTTAAGTTTTCCACTGAGTACTTAGGGCCACTGCACAGGTTACTTGTTTATTGAACAGCTAAGTATCCAAGCATTCAAGACCTCTAACTCACTTTCCTATAGGCCACTGATAATCTGCCAGATGGCAATGATTTTCCCTACCAAGCAGGGTCACATCAGAACCAGTGACCCAGAGGTGAGAGAGAAGGAATCTAATGCTGTGCTAACAAGGAGACTTTTTTTTTGCTGGGGTGACAAAGAAACCTAATTCAGGTAGTAAAATTTTCAGCTTTTGTATGAACATTAAAAACTTTTAGAAATAGTAGGGTTTTTTCTCTTGTATGGAGGTTTTTCTGCTGATCAGGAAGTCTTTTACTCTGTTACCGCTTTGTATATTTTTAACAATGGTAGCTTGAAATTTTCAGAGTGAAATATTGTTTTATACTTTGATTAGATGGATTTCACCTGGCTTCTCATTTTTCTGGGAAACAAATGGCAAGATATGGAGGTAATTCAAAGTTCAAACTCATGACACCAGAATGAAGAAGTGATTAAAAAAATGGGTTAGTTATTTTACAAAGCAGGAAGGAATCAATCATGTAGTGTTCGGCTTCCTAAGATTCCAGGCCATGGCTCTCTATCTTGCGCCGGCTGTTCCTGGAAAACATATTCAGGATGCTCATCAAACCAAACTGAGCCTTATTGGTCAGGGTAATTTACGATGTCAAACAAAAAGGGCTTCCATTAAGAAGACAGAGATTCTTGTTTTAACCGACCTCCTCATTTCAGCTTAGAATGTGCAAATTTATTATGACGTCTACCCTTTTCTGGCCAAGGAAACATGTAAACTGTTCTACTGTATCCACCTCACAAAAACTCCACCAACAAACATGCAGTGAGTGCATACTGCTCGGTCTTCTGACACAGTATGACTGTGAGGGATCCTGTCAGAGAAGGCAGCTATCCACGACAGTTATGTTTTTAATTTAGTCTTGAAGAGATCGATTGAAGTATCGAAAACCAAACCAACCACTACCTCTTCCTCGCCACCTTCCCGTAACCCAGGACATGCACCATTACACAAAAACAAAGAGAAGTCCAATTAGGCAACTGGAAACTCTGAAAGACTCTTAAAAACAAGCTAGTCTGTGCTGTGGACAGAAAGTGGACTCAAGTCTGGTTCCTCTTCTCTGAATGAGCAGCAAGAGACTGCTATATGTATTTTAATCCTAGGTACGTGCTGCCATCAGTAATGACGGTTTTGAAGAGGCAGCTGGAGGCTCAGTGGATGGAGCCGGGAAGACCCGAGTTCAAATTCAGCCTCTGATACTTCCTAGCTGCATGAATTGCCTGACAAAATAGATCCACTGGATCCAGTATCTCTGCCAAGAAAATCTCCGGTGGGGTCAGGAAGGGTCAGACCGACTGAGACGATGGCTTCTGGAGGCCTCTTCTCATCCCCCCAGTTGTGAGCACACTCATGCTCTCATAACTACATGGTATTTACCTCCTCGTATGCGTGTTATATTTTCCCTCCCCACCATTAGAATGGTCGGGCTGTTTTGTTTTGGTCTTTGTAACCTCCCAGCAAAGCATCTCGCATGTACCAGTCATGTAATACATTTCTGCTGAACTGAATTAAACACTAAAGTCCTATGGAGGTGACTTGAGTTGTTCAAGCTCTGGCAGGTTCTGTGCACTGAACAGGAAAGGCATCCAATACAGGTCTGGGGATGGAGTGCAGCTCTCTTGTCTGAGGATGAGTCTAGTTCAGCCAATTTTTTGGCCACAGTAACTCTCTAAGACCATCTACTAAGTCATAGAGGGGTTGATGTTGGCAGAGATGGTACCCACATATCAAGGAAATTACAGATCCTTGAATTATTGAAGTCATATAATTTAATTATAGTTTTCCTAGACACATGATTTAGAACCAGAAGGGACTTTAGCAGTCATTTAGTTCAACATCCTCATTTTACAGAGGATGAAAGTGAGGGTTTGTGAGGTCAGATCCTTCCCCAAAGTCACACAGGTAGATGAGGGAGGATCTGAAACATGACTGACAGTCTGGTGTGCTCTCCACACCATCCCAAT